CACAAAGACGCACGAGCTCGTGGTCCTCCTTAAGGTTGCGTTCATACTTTAGCGTTCACCAGCCACCAGCAGCATCCATCAGCGACCACTAGCGTTCCGAGCGTCCGGTAGCGTCAGCGACTAGGAATTTATACTAGATCGATCACGCGACCAGCGACGTCTACAGCGTCCACCAGCGACCAGCAGCGTCCACGAGTGGAGAGCATCTGGCGATAGTCTGCTACCCTACTATCGCCCCATGCTCTCCACTCCTGGACTGCTGGTCGCTGGTGGACACTGTTATAAGCTGCTGGTCCCTAGATTGATACTTTTACTTTTCCAATCGCGACGGGGCTAGCGCTCGGAACGTTAGTGGTTACTGGCGGACGCTTGGTCGCTGGTTGCATTTCCGCAAACTATGAAAGCAGCCTAATTGCGTTAGCGTCGAAATGTGTGAGGCCACAGTGGTCGTAAAAAGCCATGCAGAGAAGGAAGCAAGAAAGACCACAAAGTTTAGTAGGCTGCACAGGTACTGGTCGTCTGCGCTATGAGCTCAAGCCTTGGTTGTGGAAAGGAACACAAAGGCGCTACAAAAGGGGCAAGTACGCCAGCAGCCGTGACCCAATGACTTTCAGTGAAATATGGTGCAATATCTTGGATCGCGCTTTATCGTAAGTATGCTTGAAGGCAAAGCCCGCGATCACTCGCCGACGAAGATAACGTCGAGAACGAAGAAAAAAAGCAGAAATGTGTCCAATTGCTCTAGATAGAACCCCGTTTTTCGATAGTTTGTACGTGCTCAATTGACGACATCTTCAACACTACGCCCTCATCCGCACAGCTGATTCCCTGATAAGAACTCTACGACCGTACAAGTGACGATTTTCATGCTTTTTCGTCCTGCAGCTTCGTTTTTCACTGAAAGACTGGGCCTTGAAGGCGGACTTTCAGTGAAACACGAAGCGGCAGGCGAAAAAGGAGGTGTCATTGAGCCTATATTGCGCTGTAGCACCCCTCCCTTACAGATTTTCGCCGCGGAACCCATACAGCGTTGTCCTTCTCGGATCACACTACCCCCCCCCCCCCCCTTCCGCCCAACACCATATTCTCAACATATACCTGATCTCGAACCGCACCTCTAACTTACTTTTGGGTTTGAATGAAGCAACATCACAGTGTATGCAGAAATTTTCCAGTGAAATGCAATCATATATGGATCCCATAGAGTGCATGACTGTAACTTTTCATTCAGCTCTATCCTCATACTCAATAACTATCCTCGCCAGCCGCCTTTATGCAGATTCACCCCACCTATATTCCATCCCAATATCGATTCTAACGGTGAGTGTTACTTTATAATCAAATGCATTTCATAGGGGTTTATGGAGATGCAGTGCGAAGAAATTCTCTAAAATAGTGTTGGGAGGCAATGGTCGCTGCAACATTTGTGCACAAACGGAAATCGGTACTGTAATGGGAAAGCGGTGCAGCGTTGCGAGTAATACACGATCCTGTCCAGAAGAGTGATCCCTTGTTCCCGTCTCGCTCAGGATTAGGAAACATCAGACGATCTAACTCGCAGGTATCAATGCCTCTTCAAAAAGGTAGGATGACGGCTCAGCTGAGCTGTTCGTCTGCACCCTCCCAGGGAGAGAGTGATCCTTTTGTTCCGCCATACAGTCTTGGTGAAAACTTCAGACGATGACACGAGTGCAGCCCTTTTCGCAGGTCTCTCACCTGCCCCAGCTACCTAAGTCTCATTTCCTTTGATGGAATAAAATTCAGGGCAAAATTTAGTGAACGAAGTGAATTCCACGCAGTTGGCTCTAGATAATGCACTCTAGACCGAATGCGCGACCACTCCCTGAGAAGTTCCATGGAGGCGTACAAGGGCTATATGCTAAGTTCCTTTGGCCTGAAGAGGTAGAGATTTTTTTTCTGTATGTTGCAATACTGAAAACTCTGAGAGAGTCGCCACCCCAATTCATAGCGATGACTCCTCCCGGACAATGAATCGCGGGAAGGATTTCCCCTCCGTCCTGAAGCAGGTGGGTGCCACAGATTCTAGCTGCAACGTTGCAAACGGTGTCACGAGCGCAGCATCCGCACCACGACGTACAACTTGGGTAGTATATGTGCCGTATAGTTGAAAAGGGCAAGTTTACCATGCGTATGGGAGATGAATCCCGGATCGGTTCCCACCCAAGCCTTCCGGGGGCGCAAAACTGGTACCAGGTCCGCCTGTGAAGGTTAAAGAACACTGACTCGTGCATTGGCTGGTCACCGCAAGTCTGAATGGACTATATTTCTTTCAGAAAACTCACTACGATACCGAGATCGAGGTGGAAGTGTATGTATGATCCCTGCAAAGGATAGGGCGTTTGAAGGGGCGTGAGTGAAAAGCAGCCAGAGAAGCCTTTCCTGCCAATCGCTGCGGACTCAGGGTGGCATCATTAGTTGAGAAAGTCTCCTTAGAGCGGTCCAAGCCACGCTCCGTCACATGCCCTTTCGTTTGCAGAGATCATGGCTAGAATGCATGTGTAGTTTTAAAAATGGGTCGATCAAGGGCAATACTTGAGCCTCTCATTTCCATGCATGAAGGTGAAATAATACCACTTATAAGGCTTTTGGCACCTGTTTTTGACCGCAGTTACTGCCATTGTGTTTCAGGGTTCTTATTTATACCAGTCCTTTCTCCTCGCTGGTGGAAGACTAATCTCCCTATTAAAATAATCATCTGGTATATCTATGATTCACTGCATAATCCGTGCACATCATTTGGCGCTGCTATCGCTGAAGCTCCTGCGGATGTTTCGACGTGACAAGTAACGGAACTCTTCGATAGCTTTTGATGATAATTACACTCTACGTAACCTGTTTAGGAAGTCCTATTGGGAAGGTGTGCGCACTAATGTTATGCTAAACCCGACTGAAAGAACTCTGGCAAGGTTGGAAAGTGAGTTGTTTGATGACATTGAACCCTAGCCCACGAATAACTTAGCGTTTCCCTGGTTTATAAGCACTGTTCCGGCGGAGATCTGTACGAAAGCCAATACTTGGATTCCAGCTCTTGCTCTGAAACGCTAGGTGGGGTGTGGCCGAGGAGGAGGTTCGGTTCAACTGCCCAACGCTTTGTAAGATATGGCCCTATTCCTTTCCACCAATGGCGCTGGTGTTGAGTGATCTGTGTTCTGAAGTGTTCCACACTCATCATTTCAGAGGGCGCAACAAAAAGCCTTGAGGTCCGACATAACCTGTGCCAATGGCGTCTGCGCCTATGGATGTGACGTATGTACCCGTCATTCCAAGGTAGTTCCACATGTGGAGTGCGACATCGCTTCAGAAATGACCCTATCGTCCTCCACGAAATTCACAGAAACTAACCCCGGTGATGGGCGACATGCAGCGAGCATGGCGTATGCAAGGGTTGGCAGGTGAATCCTTTCTGAATAGGGCAGTTGTTCCATCCCCCCCCCTCATCTACTGTACTGCACAATTTCCGTGCAGGCTGTCAAAAAGGGGAGTAAATAAAAAAAGGCATGGTACGTAAAAGATTTTTGAGCTTCAACATCTTGCACATGTCCACTACGTCCCCGTCTACGGGAGCCTTTGAATACACTTTACAGGGAACCAAGAAGTTGGAAGTATTTGTTTTATTCTCTGTTTAGCCGATGTGTCGCAAGGCTTTCCTAACCATGTAGATAAACATCCCGCACCTTCATATGATGACCTACAGTCATGATCCCTGCGAACGATAGGGCGTGTGACGCGGCGCAGATTGGAACGCAGCCAGGGCGGCGTTTTTCCACCAATGATGGCAACCTGAGCCCATTATAATTGGGGTGGGAAACGTTCCCTGATAGCGTCCAAGCCATGCCCTTGTCACCAACCCTATCGTATGTAAGGGTATGATTGTATTTATGTTGTCATTGTCACGTTCATTGTTTTTTTTCTAGATGAAGAAAGGACGATGATGATGATGGGACCGCCTGGGCCACCTCCGCCGTATTCAGAGGAACCTCCATCTTCTCAGGAGCTGGTCAGACCAACGGATGAACCACAGCTATCTGTTCATAATGATGATCCGCACCGTGTGGTCGAAGCAAGTCATCAGGAAACGAATAGTCAGCTATTTATGAGACCTCCCAGACTTAATCGTTCAGCGCCACCACCATACACCCCACGGTCAGAACCAACACATAATCCTGACAGAGAGGCTAATAACGACTCAGCCGATGTCAAACATCCACAACGCAGACCCCGGAAACCAAAAGGTGCTTGTCCCACGCGTAGGCAGTCAAAGCGTCCTACGCGAAAGCAGCCAATGCGCCGGTCAAAAACGGTTGTCAAATATGGTAAATAAGAACCTCAAGATGTGCTCAAAACTTGCAACATTTGAGCGATTCGAGGGGTTTGCGACAATAATTTACCATTGCCACTACGTCCATCATGGTACGAGGGTACGAGCGATCCAGTCACGCGACTTTCAACTTGTGCAACTGCCACCAACCACGCCCCATCGCTAATCGTTGAACACGTGCAACTGGTAATTCGTTTCACGGGTTTCATACTGTCGCAGTGGTCCAATTATCAGCGGGTGGGGAGCAGACCACCGCAGTGGAGCGCTTTTCAGATCGAGCGGCAGGATTGATCTATTCACAAAGTAAGAAAGATCCAGTTTTAGAGTGACAAGTATGATAAAAATTGATTTCGCTAAGTGAGAGTCTGCCACTTCAGCAAAGTCGCAAATCTCTAAAAATACGACCTTCTTGAACCACCTTAATCGATCAAGCAGCGAATCAGGCCTGTTAATCGCCAAACGGTCGAATCGCTCAAGTTGCAAGTTTGTGCCCGGTCTTGAGCATGGGAGTAGAACACCATCACATCATCGTCATCACTATCACCTATTATATAAAGAAGGTGGTCTAGACCACAATCTTTGTATGGGAGTGGGGATGGGCGTGGCTATGTTATTCCTTTGGTCATAGCATAGGATCGGTTCTTCGCAAGATACTTTTCATCTGAGACAAACTCTATTTCTATACTGTATTCGGCTGTTTGAGGAAATGATTACACTTTTTCAAACCGGCGCACTCCTCCAGGAAAAGCACCATCGCCACATTCAAATATGTGCAGCCAGGCCCACCCCATAGCCGAGATATGGAGTGCAATCAGTTATTCATTTCCGATCTTTGAGAAGTTCCTCTTTGGGTGTTTGCGTGTGTAGTTTGTTGTTTCCCGAGTTGTGATCTGATGAAGCATCAGGGACCCAATGTGGTGTAAACCGATGCTGAGCTAAAGCATGGCTTGGTGAAATGTTCATTATTTTTTCTCTTTTACCATTTCTTTTGTTTGTTTACCCACGTCGATCCTAGTGGTGTCAGCTGTTTTTCATTGATTTTTCTATGATTTCTCCTTTTTTCTTATTCATCTTTGACAGCAAGGTTCTACTGGTAGCCATAAGTGGATGAAACTGGGTGGGGATGGCAAAGATCTGTATTGAATCAATGAGTGCTCAACAATTGGCAAAGCTACGGGCTTCCAGATGCTGGAATTGGAAAACTTCAAAACTAGCACCAGTTTCATGTATGGTTGGCTATCCCGAAGAACGTTGTTTAAAGTTCGAGCTTGGTTGATCTTTTATACGCCCCGATTATCACTAAGAGCGTCGGGCTCCAAGTACTGTATCTTTGCAATTGAGCGGATGCTGGCAATGGTCCATCAACTCTTTTTTTGTTGAGAAATGGAATCTACCAATCATTACAAGTTAGATCGCATAGAAGTACGTAACAAAATCGATAAGCAAATTGGGCAGCAGTTCGATCCAACAGATAAAGAGGCTCAATAGAACCATTGCATCGATTGCGAAGATACCATACTTACAGCTTGTCGCGAAGCGGGCCTAAGCAGGTGCGGCATGAGCGTAAACTGTACCGGTGGAGTTATTGTGTGTATCTCATTTTCGGTAATTAATGTTTTTTTCCTGATCCAGTGACTTGTCAGTCATTCTTTTTTGAGTTTAAATGTCATTCTTTTTTGAGTTTAAATGAAGTTTTCTTCCCAGTCTTCAAATACGCTTACAAGCAGATGTTGCAATCTGTGAAGAAGTAAAGAGAACGAGTGAGGACGTGACAAAAAGTTGCTGACAGCGACCGGTAAACGCTACGGCACAGAAGACCCCAAGAGCGGGGTTACAAGGGAGGTCGTTCAGGGCGTGCCCCGCTTTTTCGGGAACGGTTCTTTGCATTTTGTAGGGCCTTGCCCATGAACCATAAAAGTGGGCTTCATTTTCGCTGAGCGGCCCCTGGAATGCCAAAAAAGAGAGCGAAAAAATCCTATGGAAACTGATTGTTTTTGAGCCTCTACGGGCTGTAAACCGCTTGAAACTTTGACCAGTTGCTGAATGGAGGGTCCCTATAAAGGTACTATTGGAATCGAAGAGAAAAATAGTCGGGGTATGGGGTCTTACTTGTGGCACGTGATCAAGAGTGAACGGCTCCTTGGAATGGTTTCTTCAACAGTTGAAGCCGATCGGATGGCCTAGTGGGTAGCGTGGAGGATTCTCAAGCGGACAGTGTGGGGTGGGGTTGATGGTTCGACTCCCCTCGGCGTGCGAGTTTTGCATTTTTTATGTTTTGCTGTTTTCGCGTTCAAATATGTCTGTGCGTGAGTATGCGTTCGATAACTGCCATTTATGGGCACATTTTAAATGGGAACACTCCATGAATCAGTGCTATTCAATTATTACAGGTTTTACATACCATTAAGCAAGACCGTAGTTGAAAGTTGATCTTTATAGGTCAGACAATGCCCGAATCACGAATATGGAACTCACCCATAGCTATGGTGCCATTTATCGCAAAAATGGACCACATGTTTCTTTCAATGAATGCGTTAGGTACACACTTGGACATGTAGCGCCACCAGGCGCCAAACCACGTCGGCGCCGAAAATAAGTGTAAAATTGTGATCGGGGCCATCGATCACCCTGTAGAATATTACAGCCTAGAAAAATTTTTTCGACTTTTTTGGGTTCGTGCGTTGGGTTGTGCCCGACAGTCTTTCTAGGAGTCTACAGTGCTCGGTCATAGGGACCTCCTATTTTATTAATATCCAAACATAAAACTAACAATGTCGATGAAATTCATGCAAAGAGGAAGGAAAGGGAAGTATTCGTCCAGGTTGACTTCAAAAAAATTGAGGAATTTGAATGAGTGCAATTTCTGTTCCGGTAGGGGAGATTGACATCTTCCTTGAGCGAGTAGGGATGGCAAAGGCCCAGGATGAATGCCGCCACCACCCACAATGATGCCAAGCATGAAAGGACCTTGCGCGCTCTTGCGACACGGCTGTCCTGCCCGGCGGCCTGCTACGTCGTCGTTCCATCATCGTCTTTACGAAGATGTGAGACTCCGGTCACCTGCCGACCAAATGGTCTAACCTGAAAAATCAAAAAAAAATTTTTGGCTGGAAGTTCGTCCATAAGGGTAATCGATGGTCCTGATTACGATTTTGACACTTATTTTCGACGTCGACGCAATTTGGCGCCAGTATAGCGCTTAACGTCTCTCATATGGAGGTACATGCGTACTTTTCGCTCCTTTTTTGGCGTTCCTGGGGCCGCTCAGCGAAAATGAACCCCACTTCTGTGGTCTATGTTCAAGCCCCTACAAAATGCAAAAACCATTTTGAAAAAGCGGGGCACGCCCTGACCTTCTTCGTTAGAGCCGGTTGAAGGACTATATAGCTCTACTGCACCAATTTCAATAGCATTGAGCTCGATGGCTGGGGACGGACGAGTGCTGGTGTCGGTTCCCAGCACAACGTTCTTTCTCAATTCGCCGAGTGTGGTCCGCCGAGTGAGGTCGGCAGCGGTAGCTACCGCCTCACTACCAGTTTTCCTTTTTCTCTGGTCTCACTGATCTTCTCTTATTGCTTCCTTTGTAATAACTTCAAAATGATATTCATTTTTAGGCTGAAACATCCACGTGGTTTTTGGCTTGTAAGTACTGTGCTTCTTGTTGTTGAAAGAACAGAAAGAGAAGTATTTTCAGCAACACTCTGATTTAATTTGAAAGGCACGTTCCGCGATAAACTAAGGCTAGGTTCTCATAACCGTGCACGATGGTCAAGCAGGCAACGTCAGAGGCTATACTGCTTTTAAAAGTTGAAAAACAGCAAGCAAAACGCAGGCGCTCAGGTTTTAGGCCCATTTGCGCCCGATAGGCCCATGCCGGCCTCCAGTGACCGTGTCGTTGTGAGACTGCCATTGCGCTCTCTCGCCCGTCGTTTTCTGGCCTCTCTCGTCTCTTATCAGTGTATCGCCGCCTTTCGCAATTCACAATTGATCTTGACCACCTTACGCTCGTCCAAAGATCATGATAAACTGAAATAAAGAGGTTCTTATTCCGTGCGCTTTTTCGTGATTCCTTCTCTTCAATAAGTCAA